CTAGTAAGTGTCAGAATTGGAATTCAATCCCATTTGTGAAACTCCAAAAGCCCAAGCCCCTAGCCACTCTACCGTACTGCCTCATATCTATGTTCAATCTTGTATTATGCCATATTACTATTTTTTCAATTAAACAAATACTTAAGTTTACGTATTGTTAAGAAATGTACTATACTATAGGTAATCTGCTAGGTGCTACCAGAGATATAAAAGCAGAGATGGATAGGATATACCCCCACGGATTTCATTCTATAACAATTTAACAAGTACCTAATTGTTTTCAGAAGGAGCCTTGGTGGCACTGTGGTTAAAGAGCTCAGCTGCTAACTGAAAGGTCACTGGTTCGAACCCACCAGCCTCTCCATGGGAGAAAGCCTCTCCATGCTTTCATAAAGATTATGTCCTAGGAAATCCTATGTGGGTGGAGGGGGAGTGACAGTTCTATTCTGTCCTATATGGTCTCTATGAGTCAGGAAGGGGAGCTCTGGTAGCATAATGGCTAAGACACTTGCCTGCTAACCAGACGGCTGGCGGTTCAAACCCACCAGCCACTCCTTGGAAGGAAGGTTGGGCAATCCTAGTTCTGTAGTGATACTGCCTCGAAAACCCAAGGAGGGGTCGCTATGAGTCGGGTTTGACGCAATGGCACATAACAACAACAACAACAACATGAGTCAGGAAAGACTCAGTGGCGTGGGTTAGTTGTTCCAAGTACTAGCAGCTCTCAAGAGATCAGTGAGAGCCATCTAGTGGCAATTTTGTTTAGTTTCAATTTGCATAGTTAGCTAGACGTTGTATTTTATGGCACTTTGAATTTTATTAATTTGAAAGAATGTAAAAAACATTTAATACTCTCTGTGCACACAGTGAGAAATAATTACAATCTTATATTTACTCCCATAGAAAATTCAGTCTTTAATTCTTCTCCATCCTGAATAATAAAAGTTGTTCACCTAACATAAAAGCTGCCACTCTAAACATTCTTTACCAATGTTTTTCAAACTTCAGACATTTCTTTTTCTGATTCTCGAAAATCTGCATTCCACTGGAAGTTTCTTTTCACGTAAATGCATCAATGGGCACAGAAAAATCAGTGATCAGTATTCTCTTATTTCCAAAGTGTTACAGCAGAAACCTTAGTGAAGGCCTGAATGCACTGAGCAATGTCTGTAATTCACACTGCGTAAAGATTGGATTCCTACAATATTCCCTAATTTAGCTTTGTCCCAAACAAAAAGATCTGTTAAATCACAGTTTTGATATGCTAGTTATATTTTTCTAGTATATACTGAAATAAGTATGTTGTCGTTAGGTACCAGAGAGTCAGTTCCAACTCATACCAACTCCATATACGAGAGAACAAAACACTGCCCAGTCCTATGCCATCCTCACAATCACTCCTGTTTGAGCCCACTGTTGTAGCCACTGTGCCAATCCATCTTGTTGAGAGTTTTCCTCTTTTTCGCTGACCCTCCAATCCAAGCATATTCTTCTCCAGGGACAAGTACCTTCTGACAACATGACCAAAGTAGGTGAGACAAAGTCTGGCCATCCTCGCTTCCAAAAAGCATTCCAGCTGCAATTCTTCCAGGACAGATTTGTTAGTTCTTTTAGCAGTCCACAACACTTTCAGCATTCTTTGCTAACACCACAACTCAAAAGCATTGACTCTTCTTCGCTCTTCCTTACTCATTGCCCAGCTCTCACATGCATATGAGGTAACTGAAAATACAACGGCTTGTGGCAGGCGCACCTTAGTCTTCAAGGAGGTATCTTTGCTTTTCAGCACTTGAAAGTGGTCTTTTGCAGCAGATTTGCCTAGTGCTATACATCGCCTGATATCCTGACTGCTGCTTCCATTGGTGTTGTTGTAGAACCAAGTAACACAAAGTCTTTGACAACTTCAATCTTTTCTCCATTTATCATGATGCTGCTTATTGGTCCAGTTGTGAGGATTTTTGTTTTCTTTATATTGAGATGTAATCCATACTGCAGACTGTAGTCTTCAATCTTCACCACTAAGTGCTTCAAGTCATCCGCACATTCAGCAACAAAGTTGTGTCATCAGCATATCGCAGGTTGTTCAAGTCTTCCTCCAATCCTGATGCCACGTTCTTCTTCATATAGTCTGGTTAAGGGTTATGAAGTAACCCTTATGAAGTAAAATAACCATTACCTGTTTAACACTCCAAATTTTGCTAACAATTTAATACACTATTTTAAAATAATTTAAAGCACTAATGATAGAAACTAAAGCTTGGTCTTTAGTTATAAGGATACTATCTTGATTTTAGCAACATAGACATCATAATGATTATCTTCCAAGTAAAATTTTGGCCAATAGCCAACTGAAGTTACAAAAAAAGTGACCTCAGCATATAGACTGAATAAGTACAGTGAAAAGATACAACCCTGACACACTCCCTTTTTGATTTTAAACCATGCAGCGTCCCTTTGTTCTGTTCGAAAGACAGCCTCCTGGTCTATATACAGGTTCCTCATGAATACAATTAAGTGTTCTGGAATTCTCATTCTTCTCAATGTTATCCATAATTTGTTATGATCCACACAATCAAATGCTTTTGCAAAGTCAATAAAACACAAGTAAACATCTTTCTGCTATTCTTTGCTTTCAGCTAAGATCCATCTGACATCAGCAATGGTATCCCTCAATCCATGTCTCCTCTTCTGAATCCAGCTTGCATTTCTGGAAGTTCTCTGTCAATACACTGCTGCAACCGTTTTTTAATTATTTTCAGTAAGATTTCACTTGCGTATGATATTAATGATATTGTTTGGTAATTCTCACATTCTGTGGGATCACCTTTCTTTGTAATGGGTACAAATATGGATCTCTTCCAGTCAGTTGGCCAGGTAGCTGTCTTCCAAATCTCTTGGCGTAGCCAAGTGAGTGCCTCCAGTGTGGTACCGTTTGTTGAAACATCTTAATGGGTATTCTGTCAATTCCTGGAGTCTTGTTTTTTGTTAACTTCTTCAGTGCGGCTTTGATTTTTTCCTTCAGTACCATTGGTTCTTGATCATATGCCACCTCCTGAAATGGATGAATATCAATTATTTTTGGTACAGTGACTGTATGCTTTCCATCTTTTTTTTTTTTTTCTTTTTTGATGTTTCCTGCATCATTCAGTATTTTGCCCATAGAATCTTTCAATATTCCAACTCGAGGCTTGAATTTTTTCCTTCAGTTCTTTCAGCTTGAAAAATGCTGAGCATGTTCTTCCCTTTTGGTTTTCTAATTCCAGGTCTTTGCACATTTCATTTTAGTAATTGGCTTTGTCTACTCGAGCTGCTCTTTGAATTCTTCTGTTCAGCTCTTTTATCTTGTCATTTCTTCCATTTGCTTTAGCTACTCTCTGCTCAAGGACAAGTTTCAGAGTCTTTTCTGACATCCATTTTGGTCTTTTCTTCCTTTCCTGCCTTTTTAATGACCTTTTGTTTTCTTCATTTATGATGATGTTCTTGATGTCATCTCTTTTTGGTTACCTAGTGCCACTCTGAAAGGAATATACCACATATGGGATGGCTTTAACAAACAGTTTATTCTCTTACAATTTCAGAGGTTACCAGTCAGAATTCCAGGTGCCAGACTCTAGGGGCTGGGTGAAAGCCCCTCGACCTTAGGCTTCAGCTCTGCCTCTTGCTCCCAGCCCACTGAAGCGAGGGGCATCTTTTCATTCAGGCAGCTGCTAGCTGCTGAGGCTGACAAACCCAAGGTTAACAAGTGAAAAGACATGGTCCTGATGTTACCAAATCACACAGCAGGCCATTAATTCAAGTCTGTTGAAAGTCCCAAGATTGGAAGAGCAACATGGCAGGCTGCTGAATAGCAACTTGGCTATATGCAGGGTTCAAGCATGCCATAAGCTGGAGATCATTCCCAAATCTGCTTCTTATATATGGGAAGCAGACCACATCCCTAAAGCAGCTACTCAGTTGTTTGTGGCAGATCCCACCATAGAGCTGATTGCCAGTCTCATCATGGGGAATAACTACCACCAGCAGCCCAGCCACTCAATGAGGTCCAGCCAAGTTGACACATAACCTTTACTACATCATCCCACATTTTCTGGTAGGTCATAGTATTTTCAGTATTCTTCACCAGCACCACAATTCAAAGGCATTAACTTCTTCAGTCTTCCTTACTCTCCATCTACCTTTCATGTGCTTGTGAGGCAATTAAAAATACCAAGGCTTGGGTCAAGTGTACCTTAGTCTTCAAAGTGACATCTTTGCCTCCAAACACTTTAGAGAATTCTTTTGCAGCAGATTTGACCAATGCAATACATTGTTTGATTTCTTGACTCCTGCTTCCATGGACATTGACTGGGGATCCAAATAAAATGAAATCCTCAACAACGTCAACATTTTCTCCATTTATCATGATATTTCTGACTGGTACACTTATGAGGGTTTTTGTTTCCTTTATGTTGAGTGTAATCCCTATTGAAGGCTGTAGTCTTTGACCTTAGTAAGTGCTTAAAGTCATCTTCATTTATAGCAAGCAAAGTTGTGTCATCTAAACATCACAGGTTGTTAGTGAGTCTTCCTCCAACCCTGATGACGTGTTCTTCTTCATACTTCTCAGATTATTTGCTCAGGGTACAGACTGAATAAGTATATTAAAAGTAATATATCACTATTCAAAGTTTTAAATGTTCATATGTGTATTACCTAAATTATCTCATACACCACCCAGTAGTTAATGTACCAACCCTGATATATGAATCTCATATTTAGGGAAACTCTGCTATATGCCATGAGCAAACAGTTCAACTATGAATATCCTTTTTAATGAAGAAATTTTACAGGTCCTTACCTGCAAATACTACTACTTTCTCAAGTTCATATTAGGAACACTACTATAGATTACAATACGAAGTAGAATAAAACATTTAGCATGGAAACAGTACAAAGAAAGTACAATGAGATTCAAAGTGAGTAACAGATGATACCTCAAGAAAAAACATTTTGGTGTATACCTGAAACTATGTCAAATTGCTGAGATAATGGTTTAGGCTCATCTTTTTGATCCAAAGACTCTGCATTAGCGATAGGCTGCCGCCTATAGGCAGAATGTTCCATTAAGAGGTTCTCTGCTGCTGCGGTCAGTCTGGGCCGCTGTCCTTCACTAACTTCACCCACACCATTTTCCAAGTCCTAGGAAAAGATGAAATGGCTGTCAAAATCACAATAATAAAACCAACTCAAAACAGGAAATATTTGTTGAATACCATGGTCTATACTACTTGACTGCTTGAAGGGTAGTTTACAAAGAGCTTTTTATGCTTTATATATTCAATTTGAAGGTTAAGTTTAAAAAGTTAGTTTATTAAGGCTTCGAGCACTAGAATCTATACTAATATTTCATTTTTTTATGAAGTAAAATAACCATTACCTGTTTAACACTCCAAATTTTGCTAACAATTTAATACACTATTTTAAAATAATTTAAAGCACTAATGATAGAAACTAAAGCTTGGTCTTTAGTTATAAGGATACTATCTTGATTTTAGCAACATAGACATCATAATGATTATCTTCCAAGTAAAATTTTGGCCAATAGCCAACTGAAGTTACAAAAAAAGTGAATTTTTTTTTCAGTAGGAAGGCAGAAGTTAATTTTTTTTTTCTATTACTAAATTCTTCTCCTCTTCCTTTCCCAATCATTTAAATTTTTAAGAATAAAAATTAAAATTACTAGAAAATAAATCCAGCCACTTCTTTGGGTCTTGTATAGTCTTTAGATCTCCAGCCCTGATCTCCAGCTTCAGAGCTAAGGCTACTTTCACATGTGGTCAGATAGAGACATCCTAATACAACTGAAAGAGAACCACAGAGAGATCAATAATTCTAGTCCCAGCTACATTATTAACCATCCTGAGTGAGTTTGCTATACATTTCCATGTGGATTTTCCTTGTCGTTGCTGTTGCTAGGTGCTGTTGAGTCAATTCCAACTCATAGCAATGCTATACACAGCAGATGAAACACTGCCCTGTCCTGTGCCATTCTCACAATCCTTGTTATGCTTGACCCCATCACTGTAGCCACTGTATCAATCCATCTTGTTGAGGGTCTTCCCCTTCCTCGCTGATCCTCCACTTTACCAAGTATGATATCCTTCTCCAGGAGTTGGTCCCTTCTGACAACATGACCAAGGTAGGTGAAATGAAGTTTGGCCATTCTCACTTACAATGAGCATTCCGGCTGCTCATAAATCTATCTTCCAGGATAAATTTGTTCATTCTTCTGGCAGTCCATAGTATTTTCAATATTCTTCACCAACACCACAATTCAAAGGCATCAATTCTTCTTCAGTCTTCCTTCTTCATTGTCCAGCTTCCACATGCACATGAGGTTGAAAATACTATGGCCTGAGTTAGGCACAAGACGGGGCAATTTTTACTACCATAAAGATTTACCGCCTCGAAAACACAAAGGGGGTCACTGTGAGTTGGAATCAACTCCATGGCAGTGAGTTTGGTTTGGTTTTGGGGGTAGGCACATCTCAGTCTTCAAAATGACATCTTTGCACTTCAATACTTTACAGAAGTCTTTTGCAGTATTACTTCACTATTGCAAAACGTCAAGGAAAGGTTTATATATGGGAGGAAATTTTCTTTGTTGGTTACCAGGGGTGGGAACACTGCAAAAAAATTAAATAAACAAAAATGAAAAATAAAGAGGTCTTTTGCAGCAGATTTGCCCAGTACAATATGACATCTGATTTCCTGACTGCTGATTTGATGAGTGTTGATTGTGGTTCCAAGTAAAATGAAATCTTTGACAACTTCAATCTTTTCACCATTTCCATGATGTTGCTTACTGGTCCACCTGTGAAGAGTTTTGTTTTCTTTATGTTGATGCGTAAACCATACTGACGACTGTACTCTCTGATCTTCAGCAATAAGTGCTTCAAGTTCTCTTCACTTTCAGCAAGCAAGGCTGTTAATGAGTCTTCCTCTAATCCTGATGCCACATTCTTCTTCATATAGTTCAACAGGCCAGCTTTGTGGATTATTTGTTCAATATACAGACTGAATAAGTATGGCAAAAAGATAACACCCTGATGCATGCCTTTCCTGATTTTTTCCAGTTGTGTTCTGTTCAAACAACAGCCTCTTGGTCTATGTACAGGTTCCTCAGGAGCACAATTAAGTGTTCTGGAATTCCCATTCTTTGCAATGTTATCCATAATTTGTTATGATCCATACAGTCTTTGCATAGTCAATATGCAAAAGGTAAACATCTTCCCTTAAGCACTTTAATTCAATACATCAACTCATTATCTTCCCCACAAAACTTGGCACTTCTCTTTCTGCATTTCTAACTCACCAACTACATAACCACCTTGCCTGGATCCCAAGTGAAAAGCCTCAGGATTAATTTTTAAAAATTTTTCTCCCTCAATCAATGAACAATTTTAAACCCCTCTGGTGGCATAATGCCTAAGGCATTTGACTGCTAACCAGAAGACTGGCAGTTCAAACCCACCAGCCACTTCTCGGAAAGAAGGTTGGGCAATCTACTTCCGTAGTGATACTGCATGGGAAACCCAAGGAGGGGTCGCTATGAGTCGGATCAGACTCGATGGCAGTGAGTTTGGTTTGGTTTTGTAAATTTAAATATCTCTCCTTTCTATTTTTATTGTAACCTTCTTTGCTCGTGTTCTTATTCTCTCTTGCCTGGTCTACTCCAATGGTGTCCTCAGATTTCCCATCTCTCCTTCATTTGTCCACATGCCTTTCCAAATATCTTAGCATGTGAATCCTTTGCTCAAAAACTTTAATGGGCTCCACAGTACTAAAGTGTAAGACTTTTAAAGGCCTGAAAAGATCTTTATGATCATCTGATTCAACCTACTTCTTCAGACTCTTTATCTAAAGTTCTAGTTACACAGATTTTCAAGTTTTTAAATATGCCCTAATCCTTCCTGCCTCATAACCCTTAACATATTCTATTTCTTCTTCCAAAATTTCCTTCTTTTTCACTGCTGCCTGGTGAGATTCTTCACAGTTTTTAAAGACTCAGGTCAATATCATATCCTCTATAAAGTGTCATTTAACTTCAAGTAGAGATTTCCCTGCTCTGTGTTTCATACAGCACTTGTAAATGCAGCTATTTGATCAGCTATTGCACTGTACTGTAATGACTTGTTTAACAGCTCATCTCCTATTTGACAGTAAACTGCTTAAAGGTAGGGGTAATAACTCATTCATCTTTATATTTCCAAGATTGTATCTGGCATATGTACTTAGTAAATGGTTTCAGAAAGAACAAACAAATGATGATCTTCATAAATTATTTAACATAATCAATAATTTAACAGGGCTTCAGTTTTTTCAACAAGAAGGATAGAACCAAACCAAAAAAGCCAAACTCACTGCCACCGAATCATTTCTGACTCACAGCGACCTCTGCTGGCTTTCCAAGGCTGTAAATCTTTATAGAAGTAAATCACCCTGTTTTTCCTTCCATGGAGCACCTGCTGGGTTTGAACCGCTGACCTTTCAGTTAGCAGTCAAGTGCCTTATCCACAGAGAGGATGGAACAGTCTCAATTTCTTTCAGTTATTGCACTGTACTGTAATGACAGTAATTATGTAATTATACAAAATTCTATAGCTCTATAATTTCAAGTTAAACTTGCTACAAAGCCGGCCACTGAACAAATATTAGCATGCTTTACCTAAAAACTGGAATATTTGCTATTTTGTTCTTATATTTAGTACTAATTAAAAACATCATTAAGGTTAAAAAGTACCTCTGAATGACAGACTGCTTGCTGTGAAATCAATGATTTCTGGTTTTGTTTAGCAAGAAGAGAAAAAACTGCATCTTCATGAAATTTTTTATGGGGCATCCTAATCACTTGTCCTTCACTAAGAGAATCATCTTCCTAGAAGAAATGTACATACCATTAATACAAGAAAAATTTTTATCATATTAGAACTTTTCAGAAAGAAGGTGGATTCTTATTTTTTCTCCATTTAGCTTTCATTCCACCTCACTGTAACCCTTATACATATATAAACCTCTTAGGTTTACCTCAAATACAAAAAACAGTATAAAGTAATCTGGTTAAATTTAAGCTGGAAATTTATTATCAAAATATGCAAAAATACAGTGATTCCTAAGTATGCTTGACAGTGTCATCAATTTTTCAGTTCACAGGTTCTTGCTGCATATTTATGCAGCACACAAAGCAATTCCACACCTAAGCTTAAATGAGATTACCTTTCCTTGTTTCTTGTTGTTGTTGTTATGTGCCATGGAGTCAGATCTGACTCATAGCGACCCCTCCTTGGGTTTCCCAGGCAGTATCACTACGGAAGTAGATTGCCCAACCTTCCTTCCAAGGAGTGGCTGGTGGGTTTGAAATGCCAGCTTTCTGGTTAGCAGTCAAGTGTCTTAGGCACTATGCTACCAGAGCTCTCCTTTCCTCGCTTAGGTTGTTAGAAAATATATAAAAAGTAAAGAAGATTTCAATTCCTTAATAGCTTTTACAAAAAATTCCTACTATCATTTCTACACAATATTTATGATACAATGCACTTATTGTGATTAAAAACCCACTGCCACTAAGTCCATTTCAACTTATAGCAACCTCCACTGGGTTTTCAAGGCTGTATCTTTATCCATGGAGCAACTGGTGGGTTTAAACCACCAACCTTCTAGTTAGTAGTCAAACGCCTTAGGCACTGTGCTACCAAAGCTCCATATATATATGAGCTTCATATAATTCAATAGTCTAGCTTCTTGGATTATTTGCTCAGTATACAGACTGAATAAGTAATGGCAAAAAGATAACACTCTGACATAGCATAGTGCCTAAGGCATCTGACTGCTAACCAGAAGGCTGGCGGTTCAAACCCACCAGCCACTCCTCAGAAAGAGGGTTGGGCAATCTATTTCCATAGTGATACCACCTCAGAAACCCAAGGAGGGGTTGCTATGAGTCGGATCCAACTCGATAGCACATCACAACAACAAATATATATATATTTTTAACTGACAGTTTTTTCTTCCACAAAGCTACATAATAACTAGGAAGGTTTAGTACCCCTGGATCTTATTTCAGGTTTTTAACAAAGCCATTAAATTCTTTTCTAGCACAAAGAATTACAATTATGGTTAGGGTAAAATAATAAATGTACTATAAGAGGGTTGATTTAAATGGTTAAGACGCTGCTTAAAATATTTTAAATGCAATATATCCAAGTGACAATCTGTACTAAGCTGTATTTCATGTCATAATTAACCACGTATTTTTCAACTACTGGAAGCAAAGAGGTTAAAAATACAATTTTTTCTTTTCATTCTTATAGTTAAGATAAAATTACATTATGAAATGTGCATGATTCAGGAGAGGGAAGAATGGAGAATACAAGGTTTCCTTTTAGGGTGATGAAAAGGCTTTAGGACTACAGAGAGATGGTGGTTGCAAAAATACTTTGAATGCTAATGCCACTGAACTGTTCACTTATAATGGTTAATTTTGTTATGTGAATTTCACCTCAATTTAAAAAAAAAGGTGCAAGAAACCTTAAATTCCATCATGAACATTGACTTTTGTGTCTATAACTGAAATAAATGAGAAAATAACCTAATCAATGGCAAGTTCATCATGATTATTCTTCACATCAGAATCCAATTTTTGAGTCAATCTTTCCTTACCATTTCAAGCGCATCATGTAGAGTACTGGATAAGCTATCATTTAGGTTTGTCGGATACACTTCCCCATTTCCTAAAACTAAAAATTAAAATGTAAACATTTAAAGAAAATAAGAAACAAACTAAAAAATTTAATCATCTGACCATGAAGACATAGAATATTACATTTAAACTTATACAACAGAAATACTGACAGAGTTCATAACAAGTAATTCTCAAGCTACTCAACCTTACCAGTTTAAAAAAAAGAAGCAATTTAGAACAAAGATGAGATTTTTATATTTTTGTTTTACCAACCAGAAAAATAAGCAGCACTGGTGGTACAGTGGTTAAAGCATTCGGCTGCTAACCAAAAGGTTGGCAGTTCGAATCTATCAGCCACTCCACAGGAAAATGATAGGGTAGTCTGTTTCCATAAAGATTTACAGCCTTGGAAACCCTATGGTGCAGTTCTACACTGTCCTATATGGTTGCTGTGAGTCAGAATTGACTCAGTGGAAGTGGGTCTAATTTGGTTGTTGTTTTTTTTTTTTTTTCAAATACCAGATAAAGTAAAAAATATATGTCTCAATTGTAGCTATGAAACTGAGAAATGGGCACTCTCAGAAACTGCTGATGTATAATTAAAACTGATTAATCTTTCTAGAGATCACATTGGCAAAGTATCAGCTTTTAAAGGTAGATTTATAGATTCAGCAATTCTACTTCTAGGAATTTATTCTAAAGGAAGATATCAGATAAGTGCACAAAGTTATATGTGCAAGGATGGTCACTGGAGAACTGTGTATATAACAAAACATTGAAAATAATATAAATGTCCATCATATAGCAATGTCTAAACAGCCTTAAAATAGTAAATAAATAAATAGCCATAAAAAATGAGGTACACCTGTATGTATCAGGGTGCTCTGGTGACACAGTGGTTAACGTATTTGGCTGCTAACCAAAGTCAGCAGTTAGAAACCACCAGCCATTCCATGGGAGAAAGATGACACGGTCTACTTCAATAAAGATTTATAGCTGTGGAAACTCTATAGGGCAGTTCTACTGTGCCCTATAGGGTCTCTATGAGTTGGAATCAACTTGATGGTAGTGGGGGTGTGGGGAGGTATATATATTGACATAGGAAGATGTCTGTATATGATTAGATGAAAATTCAGTTTTCAAAACAGTATGTATATATAGTATGATGGTATTTTCAAAGTCAAATACACATATATTTATATTTATGTGTCTGTATCGGTGTAGAAAAAAATATTTTCCAAAAGACTAGGAGGGTGTAACACAAACTACTAGAGTGATATTATCTCTGAAAAATATGGAATTATGGGGGATATTTTACTTTCTGATGCTAAGGATCAAAAAAGTTAATTAACTTTTCCAAAGTCCATATTCTTTCTACCATTACCATGTTAACCCAGCACCAAACTAGGTGTCTTTGAGTTGATTCCAAATCATGGTGACCTGTATGTGTCAGAGTAGAAATGTGCTCCTCAGGGTTTTTAATGGCTAGTTTCTCAGAAGCAGATCCCAGGCCTTTGTTCCCAGGAACCTCTGGGCCGACTTGGACCTCCAACCTTTCCTTTAGCAGCCAAGACTATTAACCATTTGTACCATGTAGGGACTCTAATACCATGTTAAGTCTTGAAAATTAAGTAAAAACACTATAAAACAGAAAAGTATTACTTAGAAAATTATTATAATCAGTGAAATCAATTGATACAAGTTAACTTACTCTTGGAAGCCCATTTTTTACCACAGTTAAATAAAATCTCTCCTTCAGAGATGGGTCTATCTAAAGTTTCAGTTTCTGTGACAGTTATGCTTAAGGTGCTCTCCAGTGTAGATGACTCTGAACTGGGCATCTGTATGGAGGAAGGGGCCTTGGCAGCATCAGGAAATGGTGTCAAGGGAATTGGCTCTACAGGTGCAGGTGGAGCAGGGAAATACACACTCTCAGGTTCTTCATCCTTAGCCACAGACATAACACTAAGAAGATAAAGACATATTTTCAACTTATTAAGTCAGTGAAAGCCTATACTCATGTCAATATAAAAAACAGAGTCAAAGGTACTAATTCTCCTTTAGCAAAGTATTTCTATAATTTACTATAAATTAATTATTTCTATAATTAATTGTTAATTAAATATCATTAACAAAAAAGATTTATGTTTCTAAAACCATTTTCACACTTTAATCATAGACTATCTTGGATGCTCTTCCATATAAAATAAATCCACATGAGGATATACAGAAATATAAAAGTTAACTGACCATAATAAATGAAAATCCATACTGGAAGAAAATGTTTTATTAATAATATGATAGAAAGCTTTATTTTAATCTATGTCAAACCTTTAAGTAAGTTGTTGTTGTTGTTGCTGTTATGTGCCGTCAAGGCGACCCCTCCTTGGGTTTCCGAGGCAGTATCACTACGGAAGTAGATTGCCCCATCTTCCTTCCGAGGAGTGGCTGGTGGGTTTGAACCGCCAGCCTTCTGGTTAGCAGTCAAGTGCCTTAGCCACTATACCACTATGCTTTAAAAGTAAGAAGTATATTTATTTATTTATTTATAAATAAATTTGATAAAGATTTCCAAAAACAATTTATGAAACTTCTTTCTTCTAAAGTAGTCTGTGCTTTTAGAGCTTCATTTATCATATCTAATGCATCCTGATGGGAAACATAAGTCAGGCGTAAGATGGACTATATAGTTACCAATAAGTAAATATGTTACTGCTTACATAGCTCTTGGGTGAATAGGTTCTTCATTAACAGAGTTAGGATTCTCTTCCTCCAGAGGCAGGTCTCCATCACCCCATGGTTGTGGAAGCTCTGGGCTTGATATCTTCAATTTATCAATGGAAATCTCTGACAAAGTTGGGGTAAGAGCTGCTGCTGGAGGAGGTGTAGTAGCAGGAGTAACTGTTGGTGTATTAACAAGTGTTGTGGCAGGTATATCATTTCCTAAAAATTAAAAGAAGAAAAATATCAGTAAATAACTCCACCAAAAAACCAAACGTGTTGCCTTTGAGTCAACTGACTCACAGTGACCCTATAGGATAGGGTGGAACTGTCCCACAATATTTTCAAGGCTGTAATATTTATGGGAAGGAGCTCCGGTGGTGCAGCGCCTAAGGCATTTGACTGCTAACCAGAAGGTCAGTGGTTCAATCTCACCAGCCAATTCACAGAAGGAAGATGGGGCAATATACTTCCATAAAGATTTACTGCCTCAGAAATCCAATAGGGGTTCCTATGAGTCTGAATTGACTTGATGGCAGTGGGTTTGTTTTCTTTTTTGGTTTTTCTTTATGGAAGCAGACTGTCACATCTTTCTCCCATGGAGTGGCTGGTGGATTAGAACCACTAACCTTTTGTTTAACAGCCAAGCACTTTAACCATTGCACCACCCAGACTTCCAAAAAAGTTCCATAGGAAGGCAAAATATGCTATTTCAGAATTCTCTTAATATTTTGGCATGCAAACAATGGCGATAATAATTATAATGGTCATTAACTAGAAAATTTCTCAACATAGTAAAGTACAAGTAAAAAACCTTGAAATGCCAAAACTTTTAACACCACCATATAGTTAAATTAGTCTAAGTGTCTATTAGATTACATATTTTAAAAGTTGCAATTAATTCCTTACTTTTTTGCAAGAAAAATGATTTACTAAAAAATAAAGAACAGGTATATGTATATTAATCTATAAAACACCTTACAAAGCAAATCATGAAATTTTATAGTAGTAAAGTAGTAAAGTAAATTTTATAGTCGCTAAAGTTAAAACTCATTCTGACTGAATGGCAACAGGTTGCTTTTTTTTAAAAGTTAAAACTGAGTTACAGTGATAAAGTTTTGACCTTTTTCAGTAAATACTTCTTTCACAGGAAAAGCTTCATCATGACCTGAATCACAGGGAGATGAATCTGGAGTTTTGACCAACACATGCTCCTTAGAAGGTGATGAAGGTGAATGAGGAGGAGTAGGCTGTGGGGTAGCCACTGGGGTACACACTCTTGCCTGAAGTAAATTAATGAAAAGATAAAGCATGCTTATAATCACCCAAATAAGAAGAATTTGAAGCAATAAAATTCCTAAATTATGTAGAACTTAAATGTATGGGCAAAAACAAATGGAACCTTAAGTGCCTTGGCTTTTGAAGACTCACTGTTAGTCTCAAGATTGACCTGTAGAAACTTTCAGGCCACTGAAATAGCTCTGCCTCTGAAGCAGTCCCTCAGAAATCTAAGACACATTTTCTACTGAGAGAAATATTTATTAGATACAGCTGAAGATCAAACCCAAACTACAAGCTAGTTAGGTAGAACACGTAGAAGAATGGCAGCATTTTAACTGATTGCTAAGATCTCAAAAACCAGCCTTTTGGTACAAAAGAACAGGACATGTGAAAAGAGAGAGAGAAGAAAAAAGGCAGAGAAGATGAAGACAATAGAGACAATATGGAAATATAAAGTACTGGGAAAGGAAAAGTCAACATTTCAAAATTAATTTGAACAGGTAATCATTCAAATGGTTCAAAATTCAAAAGGTCCCAAAAAATGATAGTGACAATAATAAATTATTTTTTTCTAAAAAAGGAGCTGGCTATATTGTTTAAATTGGCAAATGTTTTTTATATATATATATATATTTTTTTTTTTTTTTTAAATTGTGCTGTGGGTGAAAATTTATAGAGCAAATTCATTTTCCATACAACAGTTCATATAGATTTTGTTTCATGATATTGATAGCAATCCCCATAACCTTTTCCCTGTGTCCTTCTTTCCTATGCATTCCTGACCTCTGAACTATATTTCCTTCTGCAAATATATATATATATAAAATATATATACACACACACACACCCCACAATAAAAACAAAGGAACTGACTGTACTTCTGACGTTTTAAGATAAAAACTTCAAGAGAATCAAAACAAATAAATAAAAAAAGAATGATAGTTAAAATCAGGCCTCCCTACATAACTAGTTTCCACCCCCAAAGGTAACAAATAATCTTATACTTAAATCGTTGTATAGGTATATACACTTAACTGTAAATTCCCTAAGGTGAACTGTGAAGTCAAAAAGTTCACTGTATTTGTAATTTTTATCAACACTGCCAAAATACTAGTTTATATAATAACTAAAAGCAACTTGTGATCCTTGACTATCTCCTGAATTTAAAAAACAAATTTAAAAGCTTTAGGACATTTTTAGAATATTTGGGAAAATTTGAATATGAACTCTAATTATACAGTATTTACACATCATCAGTGTTCTTGGGTATGAAATCTGTATTCTGGTAAGTTGTTCTTAGGAGATACATGAGTAATAATTTCTGAAACTTCAAATGGTTAAGCAATCACAAAAAAAAAAAAAAATTAAGGCTAAATATATAGTAGATATATAAAAACCAAAAACCAGATCCACAGCCATCAAGTTGATTTCAATTCACTGCAACCCTATAGGACAGAGTAGAAGTGCCCGCTGGTTCCCAAAGGTATAATCTTTACAGAAGCAGACTGCCACATCTTTCTTCTGTGGAGTGGCTGGTGGGTTTGAATCGCCAATCTTTCAGTTGGTAGCTGTGGTAGTTATGTTTGTGTGTCAACTTGGCTGGGCCTGGTTGAGTGGCTGGGCAGCTGGTGCTAGTTATTCCCCATGATGAGAATGGCAATCAACTCCATGGTGGGATCTACCACAAGCAGCTGAGTAGCTGCCTTTGGAATGTGGTCTGCCTCCTGTATATAAGGAGAAGTCTTGGGGATTGGTCTCTAGCCTATGGCACGTTAGGACCCTGTAGATAGCCTTGTCGTTGCTCAGCAGCCTGATATGCTCTGCCGACCTTGGGAGTTATAATGCACTTAAATTAATGGCCTGCTGTGTGGTTTGGTAACATCAGGATTGTGCCTTTTTACTTGTCAACCTTGGAGCTTCTCAGCCTCAACAGTCAGCAGCTGTCTGACTGAAGAAAAGCCTCTAGCTTCAGAGGGCCGGAAACAGGAGGCAGAGCTAGACCCCAAGGTTGAGGGGCTTTCACTCAGCCTCAGAGCCTGGCACTTTGAACTTGGACTTAAAGCCTCCAAATTGTAAGAATAAATTCCTGTTTGTTAAGTCCATCCCATCTGTGGTATAATTCTTGTCAGAGTGGTACGAGGTAACCAGAACAGTAGCCAAGTGCTTTAACCACTGTGCTACCAGGGCTCATTATATTGGATAGAAAGAGAGATAAAGAAAATGTGGCAAAATATTTCTACTTAGTGAACATAGGTAAAGTGTATACAGATGTAAATACAGTCCACTGTACAGTATTTTCAATTGTTCTATATGTAGGCGCTCTGGGGGCATAGTGCCTAAGGCATTTGACTGCTAACCAGAAGGCTGGTGGTTCAAACCCATCAGCCATTTCTTGGAAGGAAGATTGGGCAATATATTTCCGTAGTGATTCTGCTTTGGAAACCCAAGGAGGGGCCACTATGAGTTGGAATCGACTAAACGGCAGTGAATTTGGTTTCTGGTTTTTTATATGTTAGAAAGCTTTCAAAATAAAGTGCTGGAGGAAAACATTGCTTTAATCATAGCAACAAGGAATTGAATTTTATCTTAAATCATGATCTTAGTTTAAAATTTATCCATTTTACTGTTCTTTAATAAATGTATCCAAAAAATTCCCCAGAACTCATGAAATGGGAGTGACTCTTACTGGCAAGTATGTTTCGCTTGTTGAAACATCCCCAGGAACACCTGTAGCAGTAAGACTTTGCCTCTTGGCGTCTCTGTCACCCAGCATGACAGCAATGGTCTCTGCAAGAGCTTCATTCACAAAATGGGTAATCATGTCTGAATTCACAGGAACCCCTGCATCAACAAAAAGCTGAAGGGTGCCACTGCTTGCTCCGTCCACTAAAAAATGAAAGGGAAGTATACAAAAAAAATTCTTGCCTTCTTAACTCGTAAAATTTTAAAGAGCCAATATGTGAGGGTGGGTAGAGGTTTACAAATGAATATACAAATATATCTACTTATTATGAAATAGACTAAGATGATCATTTACATAACAAATATCCTCTCTACACAAACCAAAAGAGGGAGGAAAACATACAGACGGAATTTTTACTTATATGGCCTTTTCCTTGCCACTACAGAAAGTAATGATACAAAGGATTTGCATCACATTGAATGTCCTCATCTGAAAGCAATCCACATTTCCAAGGGTAAGACAACAGGAAATCCTGTGACAATTCTAGATCAAAACACAATGACTATAGGAGAAATTTTAGAGGAATGGTAGCTATTTCATAAATATGAAACAAACCTTCTTTCCTCCTAGCTTCAGATATATTAGTCATTAATGTTACAGGCTCTCTCTCCTCAAACTCCCATAGCAGTTTAGGTACTTGTAATCAATTTTAGAGGTATATTAATTTTCTAAATGGGCTGTACTTTCAATTCTGTGAACATATACAAAACTCACTACAACTTCCTTAAGAGATCTCACTAGACTTACATGGCAATATTTCTAAAGCTGTGTGTGGAAAATGATCTAACAATCTGATGGATATATGACCTTTCCAAAGAGTCCTCCTCTTAAGGAGGATGTACTTATAGTACATCTATAGCAGCAATACCCAGAACTCCTTACAAAGTGAATACAGGTGTCTTGGTATAACTTATTGAGGTAGATGTAAGAGCAATTCACTCTGGAGTTATCACAGCAAAGACTATCACAATCCCAAATTTATATTCAACAATATATGTTAATACATTTCCTTTATAACTTCTGTATTCATTGTGTTGACATGACCAAAAATCAGAACATTTCTGTGATAAAGTCCAAAAGTCCATGCCTATTCAGACATGGGCAAAACAAAGGGAAACACACATACTTTGGAAAATAATTTGGCAGATTTTTATAAAGTTAAACATATATTTATCATAAGACCATGAGAAATTAAAAGATGTGTCTACATAAAGATTCGTTTGGAAATATTTTAGCAGCTTTATTCATAACAGTCAAAATCTAGAAGAACAGAAATATCCATCAACCAGATAAACAAGTTACAGTATAGACATATAATACAGTATAACCATACATAATTGTATACCAAAAGCATTATGCTAAATATAAGAAGTCAAACATAAAAGATGACATACTCCATGAAATGACAGTAAAGTGATAGAAAGATGGTATGAATTGACTGCATAGTGACATGGGGAAACTTTTTGGGACGATAGAAACGTTTTCCTATATCATGATTGTATAGTATACAGCTATATGCATTTGTCAAAACTTATCAAACTTACATTTAAAATTGGTGAATTTTATTGCAAGTAAGTTATATCTTAAAAAAGATTGAAGAGGAAAAGCAGGAGAAAAGGGCAGCTCCATAAAGAAAGAGGCTTATTTATCCATTCAATGAGTATTTAAACCCTTATCTGGTGTCAATCAAGGGCTAGATTCTAAAAGTGAAATATCCTTAATCCTGAGTAATTCATAGTTTAGTGAGTGAGGGAGATATGTAAACCAATCGTAACATAATCTGATAATTATTATAATAAAGATTTATATAAAATGCTATGGAAAATAATACAAAGATTTGGGGTGGGAAGAATGGAGGGTTGGGGAATAGTCTGAAAGATGAAGTATGAAGTAAGAGGGAGAAGGAGAGCTGCACTGCAGAGAAGTACTAGCAAGTTATCACTGAAGGTAAGAGCTTATCTTTTGTTACCCCAGGGCTTATTTAACCTCTAAAATACATAAATCTGTAAGGTTTTGTTTTTTAATAACATGAAGAGTTAAAGGACTCCATTTCACTTACTAATGTCAGGGATCGGTGGTTCACTTTCCTCACTGACTGAAACACTGGCATTTGGTGTGATCTGTTGCTGGATTGGGAGGCGCCCAGAGATAACCCTTGACATTATTTCTTGTTCTACCCTGGGGAACAAAAGTTAAAGGTTTTTGATTGAAATGTATAAATGTTAGACATACTCCCCTTAAAAATAATGTTTACCCACATGTAAAAGCAGTCACTGTGAAATTTGAAAATGGAAAGAAGAAAAAAATAACATGTATCTGCCAGCAAGATAAACTACATGAATAGAATCAAATTTGAAATCAAATTAAAATTCTCAGATTGGTCTAACTGAAAGTTTAACAGAATTCCTAAATTCAAAATGAAGTCTAGGCCAATGAGTACCTAGTATATCATGTACCTAAATAAAATGTGTGACTCCCCATTCTGTGAGCACACATGTAAGATCTGAGCTAGAAACGAAGTCTAATAGCCTGTTTTCAAGAAAATAAATATAGAGGCTGTGATAGCAGGTACTCTTCCTCTTAAAAAGGGAAGAAAAATGTATTCCCAAAGTCATTTTCAGAAATGATAGGATTTACCTGTAATACAATAGAAGATTTCTTCTAATACATTTCTTTAGAACCACACCAAACCAAATCCGTAGTCCTCAAGTCAATTTTAACTCATAGCAACCCTATGGAACAGAGAACTGTCCTATAAGGCTTCCATGGCTGTAAATCTTATGGAAGTAGACTACCTCATCTTTCTCCCATGGAGCAACTGGTGATTTCGAACCACTGACCTTTTGGTTAGCAGACCAATGCTTTAACCATTTTGCCACCAGAGCTCCTTCTATGTCACACAGGGACCTTAAGATGGGGTTACACTGTTAATATCCTGCTTTGTTCACGTACTGATATATTACCATCTTTCAGTATCATTAAATATACTTCTAACCTAATTTTGATAATTGCTAATATTCTGTTGTATGATTAATTCTATAACTTCCTTCAGGTTTCTCATATGTAAAAATGGGGCAATAATAACACTCATAATTTGGGCAATCCTACTTCCATAGTGATACTGCCTTGGAAACCCAAGGAGGGGTCGCTATGAGTCGGGGCCGACTCGACGGCAAACATCAACAACAACAACAACAAACCTAGAAGAGTACCTTGTTTGTAGTAAGTACTCTACAACAAGGAACTTTTTGGTATTCTGTGGCCTAGTAATAGAACTGTAATTATTTCTTAAGAAAAATTTCTAGAAGAGACTGAGTTAAAGGACAAGCTTATTTTTAAGGCCAATGCCACTTAACAACAGTCTCTGTTGCCACAGTAAACAGCCTAAGTGCAAATATTCTATGACAGAAGGAACACCTCCAACAATTAATTAAACCCTCAAACACTACATCAAATAGTTTCCAGTGACCATGTTGTTGTTGTTATTTGCCACTGAGTTGGACCCGACTCATAGCAACCCCTCCTTGGGTTTCGGAGGCAGTATCACTACAGAAGTAGATTGCTCCATCTTCCTTCCAAGGAGTGGCTGGTGGGTTTGAACTGCCAGCCTTCTGGTTAGCAGTCAAGTGCCTTAGGCACTATGCCACCAGAGCTCCATAGCAAAGGAAAAGTTTAATAAACAAATTTAATGCTTTCAGTTTAATACTACTTTCATTTATATTTGCTACTTCACATCTGTTCACACTAACATCATTGTAAACTCACCACTGAATTAAGCTATTTTCCACTGTTTCTTTTCTCTCAATTACTTTGTCAAGAATATGAGCAGTGGGCTGAAAATCAGAAGCAATTGGTGGAAACGGAGGACCATTATATTTTGTAGGAGCAACTTTAACACTTCTGTTAAACTCCAGAATTGGTTCAGAGCACTCTGGAATTTCATCACATTGTTCTTCTTCCTAGTAACAATGAAAACAAACCTATTATTAATAATAAAAACAAACTTATTAAATTCCTGCATTTATTTAACAATTTTTTTTTGAGTGCCAACTATAGGCACAGCACTTGTCATTGCTGTTGTTGTTATATGCCATCGAGTCGGATCCAACTCATAGCGACCCCTCCTTGGGTTTCTGAGGCAGTATCACTATGGAAGTAGATTGCCCCATCTTCCTTCTGAGGAGTGGCTGGTGGGTTTGAACCGCCAGCCTTCTGGTTAGCAGTCAAGTGCCTTAGGCACTATGCTACCAGAGCTCCCAGCACTTAGGTAGGTAAATTTAAATTAAACAACAGCTTTTCTTATTAGGTAGTATATCACATTGTTTATAACATATACATTAGTCATGCAAATCACATTGAAGAGATGAAACTTGAATTACACCATTATTTTGTCTCTTTAAAGTACATTATTATTTAAAACAGTCATAAAATAATTTAGAAAACTCAATTATACTTATGTAAAACATTAACATTTCCCTTGAAGAACATACGAACTTCATTTTTTATCATAAAAAGACTGATGTTTCTAAACAGTACTGCTTTCTCTAGCAGAAACTATACTTTACATTTAAATATTCAGTTAGGTCTTTTTATATATTATTTATACTACCATATCATGATCAAAAAACTTGTTTCAGGAATTTTTAACCTTTTATTATGGAAAATGTCAGACATTTTAAAAACAGACAAAATAGTGCCACTTATTTATTATTTATCCATTACATATAAGTAACATGAGTTCTCATTTAACTGCTGCTCAGTCCCAACAATTACCAACTCATGGCCAACCTCACTTCATCTATACCTTCACCCAATTTCCTCTTACTGAGAGCTCTGGTGGTGTAGTGCCTAAGGCATCTGACTGCTAACCAGAAGGCTGGTGGTTCAAACTCACCAGCCATTCCTTGGAAGGAAGATGGAGCAATCTATTTCTGTAGTGATACCACTGGGTTGCTATGAGTTGGGTCGACTCCACGACAGTGAGTTTATTTTTTTCTGGTATTATCTTGAAGCAAATCACATATATCATATAATTTATCTATAAATATTTCAGTGTATATATTAAAAATGTTAGGACTCTAAAAAATATGACTCAGTAATTTTATCTCATCTATAAATGAAGTCACACAGCTAATAAAATGGCTGAATCAGGGTAAGAACACTTGCCCTCAAATTAAAAACAAAAACAAAACAAAACAAAACTCACCACCATCAAGTCAATTCTGACTCATAACAACCCTTTTGGACAGAGTGGAATTGCCCTATAGGGTTTCCAAGGCTGTAAATCTTTAAAGAAGTAGACTATCACGTCTTTCTCCTGTGGGGCAGTTTGAACTGCTGACCTTCTGGTTAGCAGCTGAGCACTTTAACCACGATGGCAACACTTGCCCAAGCAGGACAGAGGCCAGGCCTAGAGGCCAAGGGCCAAAGAGGTGTGCCTGTAGGTGTAGCAGAAGGGAGGCTGTCTTGATTGAAGAATTATATCCCGAGCATTCCTGAACCTGAACTATTACTTCCCATTCCTCGGAAGGAAGGTTGGGCAATCCTACTTCCGTAGTGATACTGCCTCGGAAACCCAAGGAGAGGTCACTATGAGTCGGGGCTGACTCAACGGCATATAACAACAACAACAACAATAAATCCTATAATTATCAGTACTTTCTGTGAGTTCTGTGTGGCCACTGCAATGAATTACCAAACTCAGCAGAGAAACAGTGAATGCTGTTGGAGGGTCTGTGCTTGGGCTGATGTCAGAACTAAAAAGACTGGAGAGTAATGGCATGTCTGGCCTTATAAAAATCAGCGTGGAGCTGCTGATGGTTATTCTGTCTCCCCCTCATGAAGTTAGAGGAAATTAGAGGATGCTGCCCCCACATGGTTTCTGCACTCAAACTAAAAAATAAACTCACTGCCATCGAGTCAATTCCGACTCAGAGCAACCCCCTTTGGGTTTCCAAGGCAGTAAATCTTTACAGAAGTAGACTGCTCAGATTTCCTTCCACAGAGAGGTTGGTGGGTGTGAAACGCTAGTCTTCCGGTTAGCAGTCAAGTGCCTTAGGCACTACGCTACCAGAGCTCCTTCTTTTCTGCACTAGGTATTAGAAATATAAAGATGAAAGATTCTTGCTTACGTAGAGCTCATATGAAACAGATATTTGTTGTCAAATAATATTAATATATTGCAAATTTTTTCATACTCTAAAATAAGGTTTCATTTTACGATTAACAAAACTGGTCTTAGCTCTGAAAGCGCTGAACAAATGTCTTCATTCAAGTCTGTTGTATGATCTTTTTTCCATTCTTTATTTTCCACTTTCTCCTATATTTTCCCTCTTTCTATTTTACTATTGCTATCATTTTTATAACTCTTTCTGCTATAACTACCACCCTATAACCTAAAGCCTTGGTTTTAGGCCTCCCAGATATTTTTTCCTCAGTGCAAAGGAATCATAGCAGATCAACCTCTCCACTAATCCTAAATCAAAAGAGATAAATGTAATAGAATGAAGAAAAGATAGACTGGAGAGAGGGAAGCTAAAGGAAACAGACAAGGCAATGAAGCAGGATGTACAAGAGACACAGCCTAGATGGGAAAAAGCTAACAATCATTAAGTTTAATGGCAGCAGATAGGTGATGTACATGAAGACAGCACTGTGTTATAAGAGTAACAACCTTATAGTTTTTAAAAATAAAAGTATATTTAACTCAAAAGTAAGTAAGAAGCTGTTTCTCAGAACACTTTAGTGTAATACTGATAGTTAAAAGATATTCAAGCACATGGAAAAGTTGTTGTTGTTGTTGTTGTTATGTGCCGTCGAGTCAAACCCGACTCACAGCGACCCCTCCTTGGGTTTCCGAGGCAGTATCACTACGGAAGTAGGATTGCCCAACCTTCCTTCCGAGGAGTGGCTGGTGGGTTTGAACCACCAGCCATCTGGTTAGCAGGCAAGTGTCTTAGCCACTATGCTACCAGAGCTCCCACATGGAAAAGTAGTAATGGAAAAATCATCTCTCATGGTTTCTCAGCTTGTTACCTGTATAACATCAATTACTTCATCAAAGTTGGTTCCTGGAAACTTCACTTCTTCTTCATCTACCTTCGTCATTTCTGCAGTCTAGAAAAACATTTTCAGAAATTTTTTGTTGTTTAATTAAAAAAAAAAAAAAGTATATATTATTCTTTCTATTTCTATCCACAATATAAACTTGTTATTACATGGCCTTAATTTCATATTTTCATTTTGATATCATATTCTGAATTGATTTAACTGGTAAATGAAGGCTAAATTAATCCTCAAGCCAGTAAGTTAACATTTCAATAGCTATGAAAACGAACGTATCACTTTTTCTTTCAACAATACACACATATACAAACACAAAAAAAAGAAATAAAATCAAATAATTTACAAAGATAAATAACAAGATTATTTTTACTCATATACTTTTCAATAAACTTCTGGTGAGAAAAATTATTGCTAAAAAATTAAATTAGGAACAAATGCCATTTTGGTCAATTCGACTATTTTACTATATCTGATTGTGAGAGATTATTGGTATTCTTACTCCCATTAAAACTGTATCTTTCAATGGCCAAATCTGCTTAGAATAGAATAAATTTGAGAAAAGTTACAGTGCAATTTTGCCATATAGTAAAGTCATAATTTCATTATTCATCAACAAATACCAGTAAAAAAAATGTATATTTTTGCATCATGTCAATAGCATAATCACAAAGTAACATACCCAAAATATGAACTCCAATTCTCACTATATAACATGCACATTAAGTAAAATATTATCATTCAATTCCCATTTAAATCAAGATTCTTCCCCAAAGAGGCAGAGTTTCTTTTTATGAGTCTTAAACCCAAGTAATCAAAAAGCAACACTAAGGATTACTGTTTTCTGAATCTTTATAAATGTAAAGATCTGAAACAAACTTTGTTTTTAAAGCTTATAAGCATTTCTTCTTGTTATATGCCATCGAGTTGTCTCCAGCTCATAGCGACCTTATGTACAACAGAACGAAACACTGCCCGGTTCTGTGCCAGCCTCATGATCCCTACTATACTCAAGCCCATCACTGCAGCCACTGTGCCTCCATCTTGTTGAGGCCTTCCCATTTTCTGTTGACCCTTCACTTTACCAAGCATGACAGCCTTCTCCAGAGAATGGTCCATTCTGACAACATAACCAAAGTAAGTGAGACAAAATCTGGCCATTCTCGCTTCCAAGGAGCATTCCGGTTACACTTCTTCCAGGCTGTCCTGGAAGAAGTTAGTTAGTTCTTTTAGCAGTCCATGGTACCTTCAGCATTCTTCACCAACATACAACCCAAAAGCATCGACTCTTTTTCAGTCTTCCTTATTCACTGTCCAGCTGTCATATGTGTATGAGGTGACTGAAAGTACCATGGCTTGGGTTAGGCACATCTTAGTCTTCAAGGAGGTATCTTTGCTCTTCCACACTTGAAAGGGGTCTTTTGCAGCCGATTTGCCCAATGCAATACGTCTTTTGATATCGTGACTGCTGCTTCCATTGGCATTGATTGTAAAACCAAGCAATATGAAGTCTTTGACAACTTCAATCTTTCCTCCATTTATCATGATGCTGCTTATTGGTCCAGCTGTGAGGATTTTGTTTTCTTTATATTGAGATGTAATCCATACTGCAGACTGTAGTCTTTAATCTTCATCAGTAAATGCTTCAAATCATTCTCACTTTCAGCAAGCAAAGTTGTGTTGCCTGTGTATCTCAGATTGTTAGTGAGCCTTCCTCCAATCCTGATGCCACAGTCTTCTTCATATAGTCCAGTTTCTTGGATTACTGGCTTACCATACAAACAACAACAACAACAACATACATATTGAATAGGTATGGTAAAGAATACAACCCTGATGCACTCCCTTTGTGATTTTAAACCATGCAGTATCCCCTTGCTCTGTTCTAACAACAGCCTCCTGGTCTATGTACAGGTTCCTCATGAGTACAATTAAATGTTCTGGGAATTCTTATTCTTCTCAATGTTATCCGTAACTTATTATGATCCACACAGTCGAATGCCTTTGCATAGTCAATGAAACACAAGTAAACGTCTTTCTGGTATTCTTTGCTTTCAGCCAAGATCCATCTGACATCAGCTATGATATCCCTAGCTCCACATCCACTTCTGAATGCAGCTTACATTTCTGGAAGTTCTCTGTCAATACACTGCTACAATCATTTATGAATTATCTTCAGTAAGATTTTACTTACCTAAGACATTTGACGGCTAACCAGAAGGTTGGCGGTTCAAACCCACCAGCCACCCCTTGGAAGAAAGATTGGGCAATCTACTTCCGTAGAGATACCACCTCGGAAACCCAAGGAGGGGTTGCTATGGGTCAGAAATGACTCAAGGGCAGTGAGTTTGGATTTATTTTTGATTTGAATATTTTACTTGAGTGTGGTATCAATGACACTGTTCAATAATTTCCACATTCTGTGGGTTTACCTTTCTTTGGAACGGGGACAAATATGGATCTCTTCTAGTCAGTTGGCTAGGTACCTATCTTTCAAATATCTTGGCATAACCAAGTGAGTGCCTCCATTGGGGCATCCATTTGTTGAAATATTTCAATGGGTATTCCGTCAATTCCTGGAGCCCTGTTCTTCAGCAATTCCTTCAGTGCAGCTTCAACTTCTTCCTTCAGTACCACTGGTTCTTGATCATATGCCACTTCCTGAAATGGATGAAGAGCTACCAGATCTTTTTGGTATGGTGACTTTGTGTATTCCTTCCATCTTCTTTTGATGCTTCTTGTTGTTGTTGTTATGTGCTGTCGAGTCAGACCCAACTCATGGTGACCCCTCCTTGGGTTTCTGAGGCAGTATCACTACAGAAGTAAGACTGCCCAACCTTCCTTCTGAGGAGTGGCTGTGAGTTTGAACTGCCAGCCTTCTGGTTACCAGTGAAGTGCTTTAGGCACTATGCTATCAGAGCTCCCTGATGCTTTCTGCATCATTCAATATATTGCTCATACAATCTTTCAGTATTACAACTCAAAGCTTAAATATTTCCTCAGTTCTTTCAGTTTGAGAAATGCCAACTGTGTTCTTTCTTCCCTTTTGGTTTCTAACTCCAGGTCTTTGCACATTTCATTATAGTAATTGGCTTTGTCTGCTCAAGCTGCTCTTTGAAATCTTCTGTATAGCTCTTTTATCTTGTCATTTCTTCCATTTGCTTTAGCGCATCTCCATTCAAGGGCAAGTTTCAGAGTCTCTTCTAACACCCATTTTGGTCTTTTCTTCCTTTCCTGTCTTTTTAATGACCTTTTGCTTTCCTCAAGGATGATGTTCGTGATGTCATCCCACAATTTCTCTGGTTTTCAGCCACTGGTGTTCAATGCATCAAATCTATTCTTTGATGTCTCTAAATTCAGAAGGAATATAATCAAAGTCATATTTTGGCTCTCATGGACTTGTTTTAATTCAACTTCAACTTGAACTTGCATATGAGCAGTTGATGATCTCTTACACAATCAGCTCCTGGCCTTCTTCTGGCTAAGGATACTGAACTTCTCCATTGCCTCTTTCCACGGATATAGTCATGTGATTCCTGTGTACTCTATCTGGCAAAGTCCATGTGTATAGCCACCATTTGTGTTGTTGAAAAAAGGTATTTGCAATGAGTAAGTCATTGGTCTTACAAAATTCTATCATGAGATCTCCAGCATTATTTCTATCACCAAGGCCATAATTTCCAACTACCAGTGATTCTTCTTTGTTTCCAACTTTTGCATTCCAATTACCAGTGATAATCAACACATCTTGAGTCCATGTTCAGTAAATTTCAGACTGCAAAAAGCTGGTAAAAATCTTTAATTTCCTTATCTTTGGCTTTGATGGTTGGTGCATAAATTTGAATAACAGTAGTATTAACTGGTGTTCCTTATAAGTATATAGATATTATCCTATCACTGACAGCACTGTACTTCAGGATAGATTTTGATACATTCTTTGTGATGATGAATGCCTCACCATTTCTCTTCAATTTGTCATTCCTGGAATAGTAGGTCATATGATTGTCTGATTCAAAATGGCCAAAACCAGTCCATTTCAGCTCACCAATGCCTAGGATATCAATCTTTACACATTCCATTTCATTTTTGACAACTTCCAATTTTTCTAGATTCATACTTCACACATTCCATGTTCTGATGGAATGTTTCCAAAAGCTAATGGATATTTCCAGCTGTTTCTACTCATCTTCAGACATGCTGCATTAGCAAATGAAGGTCCTGAAAGCTTTATTCTTTCCACATCCTTAAGGTCAGCTCTACTCTGAGGAGGCAGCTCTTCCCCAGTCCTATTTTGAGTGCCTTCTGACCTGAGGAGCTCATTTTCCAGCACTATATGGCACAGTGTTTCAGGGCTATTCATAAAGTTTTCCAATAATATAGCAGATAGTGTTTCACTGCTATTGATAAAGTTTTCACTGTCCAATTCTTTGAGAAGTGGATGAACTCTTCCTTCTTCCAAGTCTTAGTCTGGAGGCTCTGGTGAAGCCTGTCCACCATGGGTAACCCTGCTGGCATTTGAAATACCAGTGGTATAGCCTCCAGCCTCACAGCAACACGCAAGCCACCAAGCCACCACAGTAAGACAAACTGACCAACAAGTTTGTCTCCCATTAAGCATTTCTTGATTTATTTAAAATTTTTCCTCAAAACCTAATTATTAAGGAACCAGACAAGGATACCATCTATCACTACTTTTATTCAACACTGGAAGTCCTAGCCAGGGCAATAATGCAAGAAAGGGAAATCAAAAGCATCCAAATTGGTAAAATAAAAATAAAAATAAAAATCCAAACTCACTGCCATTGAGAGTCATTTCTGACTCACAGCAACCCCTTCTTGGGTTTCGAACGTGGTATCTCTACAGAAATAGATTGACCAGTCTTTCTTCCAAGGAGTGGCTGCTGGGTTTGAACCGCCAGACTTCCGGTTAGCAGTCAAATGCCTTAGGCACTAGAGCTCCCCAAATTGGTAAGTAAGAAGTAAAACTATCCTTATTTGCTGATGGTATGAGCCTATACATAGAAAACCCAAGAGACTCAGTAAAAAAAAAACTA